ACTCCACACGGTGTTAACTACAAACTACACGACTCCACACGGTGTTAACTACAAACTACACGACTCCACATTGTGTAAACTACAAGCTACACGACTCCACATTGTGTAAACTACAAGCTACACGACTCCTCTTGTGTATCAGCAAACACTTCAACTTGAGGAATGTTGATGCGGAACGTACTGACACCAATCTCTGGATTAAGGGAAGAACAACATTTATCAAAAGTTTTATTTTGTATAAACTACAAACTACATGACTCCACATTGTATAAACTACAAACTACATGACTCCACACTGTATAAACTACACGACTCCACACTGTATAAACTACACGACTCCACACTGTATAAACTACACGACTCCACACTGTATAAACTCCAGGACTTCACTTGCATAGAACTTTCAGATTGTATCATACAACGTAGTTCAACTTCCAAGTCATCACATCCTCCAAGACATTTTTTGTAAAATGTTCTACAACTTACAACATTATACACGAGTGTCATGTTGCAGATTAAACAAAAAGTTAGTTTTCTTTTCACTAGTAGCATTTTACACACTAGCCATTACTGTCAGTACTATAATGGTTACTACATCAGGACTATACAAAAGTTTATGTGAAAAACCACTTGCGCAACGGCATGAACAAGTGTCAAACTATGATGAAAATCAACGTTAAATGTCAAAACTTATATAACATAATCATATGTGGCCATATCATAATATTTCATTAAAAGAATGGGAGGGATACAACACATTGATAAGCCAATTAGAACTGGGATGCTCAATGGGACTGACTGTATTAAACAAGTAGCTACTATATAAGGAGAATTTGTCAGCCATTCGTGACAATATCTACAAGCAGTATGCTTTTTTTCAGCACGAGTGCTTTCACATATCATTCCTTACATGAAATAATAAATCCCATTCTGATGGTTCACTCAGTTGGATTAAAGCAAGTAATAACAGCTTCTAATACGTCTTTATTTATATGGTTGCCCAACAAAATGTTGACAATTTAAAAATAATCCATAACGATACCAAAAAAAAAAGTAGTAATAGTTAAATGGAAGTTCCTTTATGATGTTCATCTTGTTTTTGTCTATTGTAAGCCACAACAGAGGATTAGTGTAGGTAGCATACTTCAGTTAATAAATGTAATAAAACCTAAAATCATTCCTAGTAAAGATATCAAACTAGGACGACTGATAAACCTAAACTATGGCAAAATATAGAGAGACAAATATATTAGCTATGCCAATTAATAAAAATACTAACAACATCAATTCTTGACAATAAGAGTTTTTATAATCATCTTGTATGTGTTTTACATGCTAATTTAAACCCTAAAGAACAAAAACAACCCGTTTAACATGGTATAAGATACCATCACGTATATTTAAAGCTTCTATATATTCAGGAACTACCAATCCTTAAAACTAATAATTTTTCTTAACGTTCATCTACTAGCAGCTTAGATGTAAATGAAATGTACAAATCAAGGCCTAGTATAAAATACAATAAACTTTGTCGAAACAGTTCCAATTCTGTAGCAGTTTAATTTTGTTTAAAAGAAATATTATTAGTACAAAAAAAATTAAGAGATTAATTTTAATATGCACACTTCTGTAAATTTGAAAGAAATGAATCATTAAGTCAACAAATAAAAAAGATATCTTAATCATGGACATACAGGAGGTTTTTTAACTACAAATCAAACAGAAAAATTATGTTTTACAAACTGTCTGCTTTAGTACAGAGATGAAGTAACTGTTTGGTGAAGGCCAATAAATATATTATACCACAACAAGTTTCACATAAAAAAAATTTTCGTTCTTTTCCCCTAACATATTAACGGTAAGATGCAGCTGTTACAGTACTATAAAAATTCAGAATTGTTTGGTGGTCGTTCATCAGTATACTTTTAAGACTTTTCAACATACAAAACCAAATGGTTATTTCTCACGATTACCAGTCCCATCTCCAAAATTTATCTTTTTTACCAATTTATAGATCACTTACCCATTCGTTGGAGGTGGTAGAGTGTTTGTCAACATACTTCTGTTGTTGTTCGGATTGTTGACACTGGAGTCGGATGCACTCCGTGACATGGAGTCATCAGAATAGCTGTGCCTGTTCCCTTTATAACTTGTAGGTGTTAATGTCATGCCTCTGCTTCTGATAGAAAACCCTGAAAATTGGATGAAGTTAATAATATTACATAAAAATATACACCGATTGCTTAGATTCAACCGATGCTGGATCAAAATATTTTCTTAGTTTCCAAAAGGAGCTGGTCCTAAATAAAAATTAAAAAACTTTATACATTTAAATTTCTTTAAAAGTAAAACTTTCCTATTTTTAATTAAAATTCAGTTACTTACGATCAGAAAGAAAAATATTTTATAAAACGAAAACATACACTACACTATGAAAAATAAACATGCATTTAACATATTTTTTTTGGATTGTATTTCAGTTATAATTACAAGGCACTTTCCTGTAATTCACTTTCTAATATGTAAATTTTTGCCAACAATTTTTTCATATATATGCTTTGACCGATAGTAAACAAGTAAGGGTACAAACTAAAAGTTAGGTGATTGCATACTTGGAATTTTTGAAACTCAGCTTGAAGCTTCCCAAGGTTATGTCCACTTTCTGTTAACTGACCTTCGATGCTCGTTGGATCACCCATGGCAGGATTCTGTTCGTATGCTAACTTCATTTTCATCAAGCCATCCCTAGATGAGAGAGAAGATCTGGAAAGTGAGCTAAATTTGTGGCCAAAGGGAGGGGAGGGACATTGTACTTCATAAATAAAAGAATTACCGAGGAACAAATAATCCCAACACGAATGTCCAGAAAAGGGGGAGGGGGGGGGAGATATTGGACTTCATTTGATACACTTCACGAAATATGTATTATGTTTGTACGTAAACTGTTACGCATACACAAACAATGGACCTACAATCCACAAAGTGACAACTTCCTGCAAGCTAACGACACTGAAAGCATCTCTTTGTTAAATCTGACCAACTGCAAATTCAATAAATGTTTCTACGTGGAGTTTAAAACTGTTAACTGTTTTTTTCTGAGATTAATAAGATTTGACACATTATGTGCCCCCCCACCATAGAGAAAAAAGGAATTGAAAGACCTTTAGTCAATTACAATAACAACTCACCGTAGGTTAATATTAAGTGTTCATTTACACATTAATTCTGCAAACAATGTGTGGGTATAACTACCACTAAACACACTAAAGTAGTAAAAACACACTAAATACCTCAGGCTTTAAATTCTCTAATGATAATATTACATTAGTGCTAAACTTGTGTACATAATTAACTCATTCTGCACATCAAACTAAAGTACGATTTCACATACCGTTTAAAAACCTCTTGTTCTTTAATTAAAACATTAATCAGATAACTGAAGATTGTCATATTTGATCTCGTAACTGATACTTGCTACAGGTAATTTTAAAGACAGATCAGATTCACCACCTTGCAGCACTTTCCTGTTGGATCTGGTTCTGGACGTAGTCGAGTTTTTGTTGAAGTTTCTTCTTCCTCTGGTTGGGGGGTAAATCACCATAATCTTCCTTTGTTTCATCAATCTGAGTCTATCAGAAGTTAATTAACTGATGATGTAAACAGTGATAAGACATTAACTAGATACTACCCGACGATGTAAACACAAAGTAATTAATTACTAAACAACTGATCAGATGTTAACCCGATGTTATGTACCGACCAACTGACGAGAAGTTAGCCAGATACAAAAGATTATTGAAACATTGTACATTTGTAATAGTTTCTTTCAATACCCATTCAAGCCATCTCTAAACCTTATAATTTATTATTAAACTGTTTCAAGCAAAGAATGGCTAAATAAAGACTTCACAATATGTAATGCCTTGATATTTTTTGTATAATTAACTAAAACATTTATCTACTAGTGTTACATGTACAAGTCTCGTTACTAAATTTACTTTAATTAAAACTAATAAGTTTACACACAAACCATTTTTGGTATTAACGTAGTTAAAGCAAGTTGAATGTACTAACAAACAAGTATAAAGTAATTTAGAAAATATTATATCCCATGTATATATTTTTAAAATCAAGTATGAATAGAAAAAAAGATTTTTCCTCAAATGTGCAAATCTTAATAATGAATTAAAAAAAATTAATAATTACATATCTGAACGTTACTTAGCTGAAATTATTTTGCCTAAATTAGGTTTTATGAACAAGAAATTTTCGACGAAGATTAAATCAATGATACATTTCTTACTTTATTTGAACCAAACATTCCAAAAATTCCTCCACGTTTCTTTAATTTTCCTCCAGTAATGGTGCCTTTAATAGTTTCCGTTTTGAAAGGAGACATCGTATGTAGGCTTGTGTTCCCTTCACAATTCTTAAGGTTACTGAGATCTTCAAAAGGGTGGTCCTCCGGTGGTGAGAAGCCAGATTTAAACTTCTCAATGACTAGCCTAGAATCCTAATGGTATAAAAAGAGACATCTGTAGTGTTTTATAGGGGGATAAAAAATACACATGATAGAAAAAGTACAACAATTATACATCATACAAAACTTGTATCTTTATTACACATATAACATCACCTGACATCAGTATGTTCAGTGAAATAGATATATATTAAAAAAGAAAAAAAAACAAAAAAAAACGTAAAATTAATATTTGTTTGTTCATTCACCTGAATGTATACAACAGATTAAAAAATGTCAGAGACCCTTATGGTTTAAGCACATCTATCTCTAATTTTGAACAACAAACGTTAATGATTTTTCATTATGAAATACAAATGTGTAGTAACTCGCATATTTTATAAAAAATTACACATTCATTTCAGCTTTATATCTTACACACACCACTGGTATGTTAATTATAACATGTTGATATTGATAGAAAAAATAAAGTCAATGTTTGAATTAAAAGCACTGTAAGTTACACTTTACAACCAAGATTGAATAAAGTTTTTTACCAATACTTGCCTCTTTCGGATCTATAGTTTCAGCAGCCTTCACTATACCATCAAGACACTTGCAGACGATAGGAAATACGTGACGCTGAATATCAGCAAATAATTTAATGAAGTTCTGAATGCAAGCTATTCTTCTTTCGTCCATGTCTTGCATTTGCTGAAAGAAGTACGATGAGGTTACAAAACGCAGCAGTCAATTTTACAACGTATAATTGAAAACTGAACAAACTAAAGAAAATCTAATTTTCATTGAGTACTTTCCTAGGTTCTTCTCCCTGTGTGTTGATTTGGACTAGGGTAACAAAGAGATGACAACTTACTACATGAAATATATTTAATACAGTATTTTTTAACAAAGACAAGTTCTGGTGAAGTATCTAATGTATAGTTTACAAACATGTTTTGTTATTAGTAACAAGTTTCAGTATAATTTAGTCTTCCACTGCTCTCTGAATACTTCATTAATACAGCATAACTTCAAATTCATCAAACCAGAAATACTAGGTGTTGCTATGAATTGTAGGCAGATCTTGCTAAACACGAAGCAATGTTTGGAAATCTTTCACAGTAGGTTAAATGGAGCATGTAATGAGCTGAGATAAACGTTTATAATGGAGCATGTAATGAGCCGAGATAAACGTTTACTCTATAATGGAGCATGTAATGAGCCGAGATAAACGTTTACTCTATAATGGAGCACGTAATGAGCTGAGATAAACGTTTACTCTATAATGGAGCACGTAATGAGCTGAGATAAACGTTTACTCTATAATGGAGCACGTAATGAGCTGAGATAAACGTTTACTCTATAATGGAGTATGTAATGAGTTGAGATAAACGTTTACTCTATAATGGAGCATGTAATGAGTTGAGATAAACGTTTACTCTATAATGGAGCATGTAATGAGTTGAGATAAACGTTTACTCTATAATGGAGCATGTAATGAGCTGAGAT